CCCTGGGTGAGTCCACTACTCTACTTGTTGTGTGGACGGACATCGGCCCTGTCTCTGCTCTGAAGGTTTTCTGTGGGCACCTTCTCCCTCCTTGTGCACAGACACTCATGTTTTCTGGGCTGTACACTTAGAAGTGAGACTGCGGTTTGGGGGATGTACATTTCAGCTTTTACCTGTGGTGACATCAGAGATCCCCAGAACCGGCATCTGTAAGAACCTCTTGATGCATGCCAGCCCAAACCTGGCTTCGTTAGCCTTCTAAATTTGTGCCAGCTTGCTAGGTATATAATGTCTCCTTATGGTCTGGAGGTGCATTTCTCTGACTGCATATAGAGTTCAGAATTTCCATGTTTCTTGGCCACAAAATTTCTTCCTCTCTGAAATACTGGCTCATATCTTTTCCTTCTGAGTAATTTGGTTTTTGATATTTGTAGGAGTCCTTTCTGTGTCCCTTTGTGCTGTGCTGTTCCTGGGTAGGCGTGCTACAGAGAACTTCTCTAGATCTGTTGCTTATTGTTTCATTGCATCTTTTAAGTATGAGAAGGTGCTAATTTTAAGATAGATCAGGGGCGCCTGGGTGGCGCAGTCGGTTAAGCGTCCGACTTCAGCCAGGTCACGATCTCGCGGTCCGTGGGTTCGAGCCCCGCGTCAGGCTCTGGGCTGATGGCTCAGAGCCTGGAGCCTGTTTCCGATTCTGTGTCTCCCTCTCTCTCTGCCCCTCCCCCATTCATGCTCTGTCTCTCTCTGTCCCAAAAATAAACGTTTGAAAAAAAAAAAATTTAAAAAAAAAAAAAAAAAAGATCAGAGATTTTTTTTTTATATTAATTTTATTTAAGGAACATTTGAGTGTTGGGACTGCCACCAGCTCGAAGTGTGTTGGGCGTGAATGGGTTGAGGGTCAGCAGGGAGAGGCCGTTACTGGCCGTGGAAGCAGAGCAGGTGGAGTGGGAGCTAGGTGAGGTCCAGGAAGGGGACGGTTCTTGAAATGAGAGAAACCAGCTCAGTAGAGCCCCTGCAATGGCAGGGGTTACAGGGGTGAGGAAGCATGTGTGGGAAGAGGTGGACCTGGCCAGGTGGGACAGGGGTCCTTGGCAGGACGAAAGAGCCAATTTGTCCGTGGACATTTCTGACCGAGTGTCCCCCTGGACCGTGCGGTAGGCCCACTGAAAGGGAGGAGGAGGCGGGGAGGGAGAAGAGGGCTAGCACGGGCGGAAGGCGGTGCACGAGTTGGCCTGCGGAAGGACGCGGGACAGAGGGCAGGTGTGACAGGCCGTGGGGCTGAGCCAGAGAGAAGGTGTCCAAGAACAGCCAGAGGGTCTGTGGGCCTGGTACCGGCAGCAAGGGGCTGCTGGAAGGCAGCGATCTTGAACGGACGGACAGACGCACGGACAGACACGGGCCCAGGTCTTGAGCAGGCTGGTGGGCGGCCAGGCGGAAGGTGGAAGAAATAAGAGACCGGGTGGGAGCGGCGGGCACCTCAGCACGAGCCCGGCTGCCACCTCTGACAGCCTGGAGCTGTCTGCCTCTGGAGCCTCTGCCCGTCCCGGTCAGGGTTAGGTTGCTTGCTTGTGTTAAGTTACGGAAAACCAGAATTCTCACTTCCAAAAAAATGTGTGTTCCCCACTTGTTAAGAAAGACGGGAAGATGGGCAACACCGCTGCTCCGCGGGTTGAACAGAGCTGAGGGCGGGGCCTCTGAACAGGGCAGGTGGGCCGCACGTCTCTGTGAGTGCTTACTTCCCATAGGAAGTTTCCTGTTTGAAAAGAAGTGGGCCTACGGAGATACAACGTACGTGTGGTCACCTGTGCCTGATGAAACGTACGGTTTGAGGATTTGGGCGTGTGTACATCCCGTGAAAGAGCACATCCACCACCGCAGACACTTCCTGTGCCCCTTCCTCGTTCCTTCTCCGCCCACCGTTCCCTGGCCACGGGCAGCACTTTCTGTCACTAGTTTGTTTGCACTTTGTACAGTTTTACATAAATGGAAACATTCAGGACCTACTGTTTTTTGCCTGGCATCTTTCTTTCCCTTAGCAGAATTATTTTGAGATTCGACCGTACTGTTACATGACTCTGTTGCCTTTTTGAAAACGGTAGTTGTCAGGTGTATAACAGTGATTCTGATTTGGCTCCTTTTGAGGCCTGAGTAGTGTGTGTCGTTAGAGGAATCTGCCACAGCTCACCTGTCCAGTCACCTGTGGGTGGACATTGGGTTTTTCCGTACGTCGGTCATTCCAAAGAGAGCTGCTGTGAACGTCTGCGTACAGGTGTTTGGATGGACCCAGGTCCCTTTCTCTTGGGTGGGGCGGTGTGATGGCTGGGTCCTGTGGTGCGGGGGCACTCAGCTTCTTAAAGAAGTGCCAAACAGTTTTCTAAAGCAGCTACACCATTTGCATTTCCAGCAGCTCGTGTGAGGGTCCCGTCGCCCCACCTGCTCACAAGCCTTGGGCCGGTCAGTCTGCTAATTTCGGTCCTTCTGTTAGTTGGGAGGTGGTGTCTCTCTGTGGCCCGGGTGCACGTTTCCCTGTGAGTAAAGCTGAGCGGCTCTCCATGTGCTCGTTGCCGTTCATGCGTGTTCTCGTGCTGCCGCGTCTTGAGCCCAGGCAGTAGAAGCCCTCCTCTTGGTCCTCCTCCTCTTGTCTGCCAGGCTGTGGGGGCTCTTTGGGGTCTTTGGTGCTCCTGTGTGCCTTTTAGATTCAGCTTGCCGGTGTCTGCACAGCACCTGTTGAGATTCTCATTGGGATCACGTTGAATTTTTAGGTCCGTTCACGGGAGAATTGACACCTTCATATCGAGACTTCCAGCCCTTGAAAACGGTCCCTCTCTCCACCTAGTCAGGCTGTGTTTCATTTCTCTGACCAGTGTCTGCACTGCTCACTGGGAGTGTTTTGCTTATCTTCTGTCAGATTTTTCCAGCCCTCAAAAAAATGTAATGCTGTGGTAAACAGTAAGTAATTTTAACCTCAAATTGCTTCTAGCTACTATTCACGAATGCAGTTTATTTTTGTATGTTAATTTAGTATCCCGAGAGCTTGTTAAATGCATCTGATGGTTCTAGTAGCTTTTACAGATTATGTGGGATTCTCTACATAGACCATCTTTTTGTTCAAGTAAAGAGCTTTACTGCTTCCTCTCCTATCTGAATGCATTGTTTTTCCTTGCCTGACTGCACTGGCTAGAATAGCATTTCACGGAAGTGGGCTTATTCCCGACCTGAGGGTGTAGCATTCATTCAGTCTTGAACGTCAGGCACCACGTGAGCTGGATGTAAGCCCTTTGTGTTCAGCCCTCCATCAGGTTGAGGAGATGGCCTCAAGTTTTCTGCGAGCATTCATTCAGTCATGGCTGGGTATGGGGTTTTGTCAGATGCTCTCTCTGTATCCAGGTGGTCATGTGGTTTTCCTTTTTTTTTTTTTTTTTTTTTTTTTTTTTTTTGTCTATTAAGATCAATATACTGAGTGGTTTTCTAATGTAAAATCAACTTTGCATTTTTGGAATAAGCCTCACTTGGCCCTAATGTAATTTCCTTTAATACGTTTGATGTGATGTGCCAGAATTTTATTAATTTTTGCATCTATGCTTATGTGGTGTGTTGGTCTGTGGTTTCTTGAAATTATGTTTTTTCTGATTTTGGTATTAGGATAATGTTGGCCTCACAATAAGTTAAAAATCATCACTTTCTCCTCCGTTCTGGGGGCTAGTTTGTGTAGAGTATGTAGAATTGGTATTCTTCCTTAAACGTTCAGTGCAATTTGCCAGTAAAGCCTTCTCGGTTTGGAGCTTTCTTTGCAGGAAACTTTCTGACTACAAATTTGATTTCTTTAATAAATCGGTAACTATTTAGGCTACCAATTGTGTGTTGAGTGAGCTTTGGCAGTATGTGTCTTATAAGAAAAGAATTTGTGCATTTCATCCAAGTAATGCATTTGCGTGAAATATCCTAGTATTTCCTTAGCAGTAGTACTTTCCGAATCTGTACTGATGATGTCCCCCTCTCTCGTGCCTGACAGTGGGAATAGCTACCTTCTTAGGTCTGGCTACAGGCTTCTCAGTTCAGCCTTATGAGGGAAGAGGGAACCAGCTTTTGATTTCATTCATATTTTGCAGGCTCTTTCTACTTGTTATTTCGTTGACTTCTGCTTTGGTCTTTATTTATTTGGGGTTCCATCTGCGCCCCTTTTTCTAGTTTCTGGTGGTGGAAGTTGAGGTCATTGACTTGAGACCTTTCTTCCTTTGTGATTTTGGAGTTTGGTGCTGGGTGAGTGCTGAGTGCTGTCCTGTGGAAGGTCGGAGCACAAGTCACCCAGCCAGGGTCCAGTTCGGTTCCCAGGTGTTTGCTGTTAGGAATAGTGAGGCAGGAGATCGTCTTCCGTGTCTGCACAGTGATGTGGATGTAGGGAGAACTGGCATCTTGGCAGCGTGGAGTCTCTTTTTCAACCATAGGTTGCACTTAGCGAAGCTTTCTGTGTTTTTTCCTTCTGTTCTTTGTCCTCCTTTGGAATTCTTGTCTAGCGTTTTCCTCATGGTTTTCCACCTCTAACTTGTTTCACGTTTTAGTGCAAATCAATACCTCTAGGGTTTTACCGCTTAGTATCTTGCTGTTTTTCAGATCAGTCAGGTCGGGAGATGATTCATCGGTCTCCACTTTAAGCTATTGCGCTCACTGCCTTTTTGGCATTTCTCGAGATCATTGTTGCTTACCTTCGGCGTGCTCATGAGATGAGGTATTTCCACTGGATAACTTCGGATCAGACCTTTCTTGTGTGTGTAGGATGAAAAACGTGTTACTTTTATTTTGGTGAATTCCTCCTGTAGTGTGCTTCTGGGATCTGTTGAGAAACCGTTTATTCCCGTTTGGCGTGCTCTTTAGAAGGAAGGCCGTGATCCTGCAGGGTGACCAGCTTGTCTAGTTTGCCTGGCGCTACCTTTGTGACATGTCCCGGTCTTCTGTGCCCTTTGAAAGGTGTCGGAAGCTCCCCTCCTGCTTCTCGGGCAGAGGCGGAATGGCCCCGGCTCGCCAGGCACGGAGCTTGGAAAGCCTCCCCCAGGAAGGCCTGGCCGTTCCTCCGTTTCTTCCCCTTGAATTGATCCGCTTGAGTGTCTTGGAGCCCAGGTAACTGTGTGCGAAGAGTCCTTGCGGGGACACAGCGGGGCTGCCAGGAGCCTCGTGCCCGGGGCCCCAGAGGAAGGGCCTCTGAGGGCTGTGCTTGTGCATTCGGTTTTGCCAGCTTCACACCCCCACCCGCCCACCCACCCCCTACCCACGACTCACCGGAGGGCGACCGTGAAGTGTCTGCTCTACACCTCATGATTCAGGTGAGAAACAATCACCTGGTCCTTGGGCTCACAAGTCTGAATTTTCCAGAAACCTGTATGCGGCCCGATTTCTGAGCTGGTATGGAGCAGCTCTTGTACCTTTGCTTCTTTGAAGGCCAGATGTTCTTTCTGGAACAGACGTCCATCTTCAACTGTGCCTTGGAGCTTTGGTCATCCCATTTCATTGAAGATGAGGTTTTATTTTACGTTTTTAATTCTGTTTGTTGTGTTAAGAAACAAGACAGGCCCACAACGGAGTGGCTTATGCTGAGTGCCACGTCACCAAACAGGGAGGCGATTACCGGTTTGGCTCCCCCGAAACGGAATCTTAGGCTGGTCGGTCGGGAACTGCCTGGTCGGGACTGGTCAGGACTGGTGAGGCTCCGCCTGCCGGACCCCTGCCCGCCCCCGCGGAAAGCGAGCTGGGGAGAGCCGGCCCCCTGTCTTTCCCGGGATAACTCCCTCGTGCCGTGCCCGTGCCCGTGCCCGCTGCCTTCTGGCTGCGGGAGTCCTTCGCGTCGGACAGCTCCTCGGAGCCCCTCTGTCCGCTGCCTGGGATGCTGCCTGGTTCGGATCAGTTTTTACTCAGAGTCTTAAAATTGTTAATAAGCCTCAGTTTATGTTTTAACTTCGAGTTGTGAATTTCAGAGGTTTAAATCTTTACAATAAAAATTACTTTGTTGTTGAGGTAGTGGTATTAATATTTTAGGCTGTTTTTCTGTTTTTTCCCCCTACTTGTTCTCTTTATATATTTAAAAGAGAAATACTCCCAGAAAGGAAGGAGTCCCTGCTGTCCCCATACGTGGGATGTCTCTGTTTAAAGTTCTTCTGTAAACCTCCTAATGTTGTCATGTTGTGTATAGACAGACACCCACTGAAAAATGAGCCCCTGCGCTCCAGACTCCCTGGCGGGGGCCTCTGAGAACCTCGGGGGCTCTGACTCTAAGACGGACCCTCTATAAGTATTCGTACAGGTTAGATTTCCACGACCAGTACTAGGCCAGTATTTCTAAACTGGAGGTGAATTATTCGATATTCTCTCTCTGGCAGGACCACGAGCAGACGGTGTCACTTTGCGCTTGAACACGTCATCCACTTAGGTGTTAAAGGTATTATTTTTGTGGAATGATAGTTCACTTCTTCCCAGAGTATTTTTACAAGTTCCATGCAAAATTTTGTGTAAAACACAGTCTCTTCGGTCGTATATTACAAGTAAAATTATGTGATATCCAACGTTTTTCTTTGCCACTGGCAAGTTTCAGTGTCTCTTTACTATTTAATCTGTGTGGAAATTACTGAAACTGAAGCCGTTGCCCTGTGCTTGTCCCTTCGTAACATAATTAACTTTTGTGCCTCCAAATGGGCACATGGCTCCGTTGTGAGCAGTACCCAGAACTGCTGTTCTGCTGTAGCCGAGAAACCAAGTACGGGACCCAGACGGGAAAAGCCTAGGCTGCTGCCGTTCATTCATTGTTTTCAAGCTTTCGGTAACACCTACCTTCTTATCTCATTTTAAAAGTGTTGTTTCCAGAAGAAATCATTTTACAGTCTCCCCAAGTGACGGTAAACTGGAACGACGTACAAGACACCAAACGTGATGGCCAGCCCACCAGCAAGGTATTGCTTCGATGACTTTGAAATATTTCGTAGATGGTACATTAGTTCTCAGTGGCCTGGAATTTTAGAGGCGTGTCGTTCAAATATAGCCCAAGATCACAGCTCAAATAAAACTAGGATATTCGGGGGTGGCTGGGGTGGCTCAGTTGGTCTGACTCTTGATTTTGACTCAGGTCATGAACTTGTGGTTTGTGGGATCGAGCCCCGTGTTGGGCTCTGTGATGACAGCACGGAGCCTACTTGGGATTCTCTGTCTCCCTCTCTCTGCCGCTCCCCCACTCACATGCATGTGCACGCATTTGTTCTGTCTCACGACAAATAAGTAAAAGCTAAGGTATTCAAACAACAGATTTAGCGTGAAGTTTATATACAGTTACACGGTACAGTAAGTGGAGAAAACCAAGGTGCAGATCTGTTCATATGAGCTTATCATTTAATTTTAAAAGTATATGCTTTTCTTGTACACTCAGGCACAGGCACATTTATATGATTATATATGCATAGAAAATGTCTGGAAGAACATGCGTCCACCAAATGATTAACATTTGTAATCTTTGTTTTTTTGTGGGTTTTTAAGTTTATTTATTATGAGAGCAAGAGGGAGCATATGCACATGTGTGCAGGGGAGGGGTGGGGGGGGGCAGAGATAGAGAGAGAGAATCCCAACGTGGGGCTCAAACTCACAAAGCCTGAGCTCATGACCTGAGCCAAGATCAGGGGTCAGACATTTAATGGACTGGGCCACCCAGGCACCCCAACATTTGTAATCTTTATGAAGATTATAAAGATAGTTTATTTTTCACTTATAGAAGCCGGTTCCATAAATAGTTCCATAGTGCCTGTTTTGTGCCAGCTATCATCTAGGCTGTCCAAATGTTTATATGAGTAAAACAGAAATGGTTTTATTTATCATTGTGTTTCCAGTAATGAGAAAAACTCTCCATGTCTGTGGTGGGGGCTGTAACCTAGAGTACTGTGCTGTTCGAATTTGCTTTTTTGAACATGCTTTAAATATATAAAAAATACAAAATTTTAATTCTAATATTTAGAAACTCTTTCACCATTTTGTAGCCCCTCTCCAAAAATGCAAAACTAATAGTTTTAGAATACTTACCTACATATTCACAGAAAATCCTATGAAGGAAACATTAAAAAGTTTCCATTAAAATCACCTTTCTTTCTTACCTGATCTAAAAGTAGCAAAGGATCTTCAGTGGAACAGACACAGCGTCACCTGCAGCACCCCGCTCGCCCGTCCACCCTGTGGCCTGATTCTCAGGGAGGGTCTGTCACCCTGATGGGGACTCGGTGCCAGGTGGGGGAGGTGGTGCTGTTTGTGTGGGTCACATTCCTCATCAGCTGAACCTCAATATGTTTAAATGCAGAACATGATCTTCTTATGGATAAGCTAGGTCGCAAATGAGCTTGAGGTCATTCCACACATCAACCAAGATGCAGTTACAGAGACTGAATCTGCCTTCCTACCTTAACTAATCAAAACTCAGACAAAGCACACAACACAACAGTTTCAGATACTTGTGTATCGCATGTCCTAGGACAATGATTTCTGACAGAGGAAGCAAATGAGGTGACCCTGTGATTGCCCCAGCTTACGATCTTCAGAGCTCCCGGGCCAGGGACCAGAAAGGGAGGCCAGTGGTCTACAGAATTGAGGAGACACACCTGGTGGCAGCGTAAGGACAAGGTGGATGGCATTCACAGGGCAGAGGACTGGGGGAGAGCACAGGACAAGAAGGGTCTGCAGAGCCCCCCCCCCCCCCCCCCCGGAGTTGTGTCACGAATGCATGCCTGGGAAAGAAGCCCTGGAAAGCAGAGAGGAAGCCCGAACCCATCCCCACCCTTCCCCCAGTGCCGGAACGACTGGTTCCCAAAGCCAGAGAATTCACAGGGCAACAAGTAGAGTCCTCAGAGGGTGTTGCCTGCGGGTGGGGAGAGTCTAGCCCTACACTGCCTGCCAGCCCCACCCATCCACGGCCCGAGGAGAGTGGCTCTCCAAGCAGTGCAGCCACATCCCACAGCCAAGGTCAAGGATAGTTGCGGGAGTACATACACACAAGGTGTAAAATTCACAACAGCTGGTATCTAATCCAGAAATAAACTGAAAAACACTGTCCATAATAAGGAATTTCAGGGCCGCCTGGGTGCCTCATTTGGTTGAGCGTCCAACTTCAGCTCAGGTCATGATCTCAACGATTTGTAGGTTCGAAGCTCCACGTTGGGTTGCCCTGATAACACGCAGAGCCTGCTTCAGATTCTCTGTCCCACCCTCTCTCTGCCCTTTCCCAGCTTGTGCTCTTTAAAAAAAAAAAAAAAAATTGGGGCGCCTGGGTGGCGCAGTCGGTTAAGCGTCCGGCTTCAGCCAGGTCACGATCTCGCGGTCCGTGAGTTCGAGCCCTGCGTCAGGCTCTGGGCTGATGGCTCGGAGCCTGGAGCCTGTTTCCGATTCTGTGTCTCCCTCTCTCTCTGCCCCTCCCCCGTTCATGCTCTGTCTCTCTCTGTCCCAAAAAAAAAAAAAAAGTTGGAAAAAAAAATTATTTTTTAAGGACTTAACATTGCTGCTTTATTTTAATATGAAATTTATTGTCAAATTGGTTTCCATACCAAAAAAAAAATTTAAAAAACAATTCCATCAGTTGAAATCAACTAAAGAAAATAATAGTGGTATGCCAGGCCTAATAATGCAGGAGCGTGAAGGATGCCACGAATTCCATCTGGGGGTGTCTTTGAGCTTGCCAAGTAGACACCATTAACAAAGCTCACCCTCCTAAGTTGAAAAATTTATGGACGAGAAATTATCATTGAGATTAAATGGTGGCAGACATGTCCAGGGAATATTGCGGGGGTTCAGTCCCTTCATGAATCTTGGGAAAGATGGACGTGTGGAGATGGCAACTAGTGGGCGGCAGAACGACATTGGAATGGTGGTAATTCCAGGAAATTGTGTCATCCTGTTAGAAGCCTTGGAATGAGCATTGTTAACAACGGGTGTGTTATGGAAGAAACCAGTGGCTTCCACGTGTCCCCTCTCCATAGCTCCTACTATATAAACATTTTCCTACTATATAAAAATCAGGTTGTGCATTTTCATATGGAACTTTCTTGTTAAATAAACTTCTGTAATAGTCAAAAAAGTAATAACAGTGAGTGGTAGGAATTAGCAGACATGGACATCAAAACAGTTATTATAATTATACTCCATATGCTCCACATTCAGTGGAGATACAAACAATAAAAGATAACTTTCTAGAGACAAAAACTCAAGGTCTTAAGATGAAAAGTATATCAGACAACTAACAGACTAGAGACTACAGTCAGAAATATTAGTAAATTTGAACACGGATAGAAACTCAGCAAAGCGAAACAATAAAGAAGAATCTTAAAAAAAAAAAAAAAATCCAAAAAAGCATCAGTGAGCTGTGGGACAAGTACCCACAGCCGTGCATCCACACAATTAGAGTCCCAGAGAGGGGAGTGTAAGAAATACTAGAAAAAACAGTGGAAACTTTCCTGATTCGATGAAAACTATAAACCTACATACATATCCAGGAAATTTAACAGACCTGAAGTACAAGAAATCTGGAGAAAACTGCACCAAGACACATGACAATCAAATGCCTGAAAGTTGCTTAGAAAGAACTTATAAACCTTAGAAACAAAGTCTCATTATAAGCAGGGGAGCAGAACAAGGAACGGCAGCAGATTTCCTATTGATAGCAGTGGGGTGGCTCTGGAAGGTGCTGGCAGGAAACACTGTCCGCCTGGAACTCTGTGCCCAACCTACACTGCAGAAATGAAGAGGATGTACACAATTATCCAGACGTGCCTGAGCTGAAAGATGGGGCAGGAGTTACCGCTGACCTGTACCACCAGCCGCGAGAGCCCTTACAGCACACGGAAACCGCCCTAGAGGGACACGATGGCCTCCCTGGAGGAGCAAAAAGGACTAGAAATGATCAGTGGGTGTGGACATGTAAAGAATGTTTTGTTGCAGAAAAAAATCCTCTTTAAAAGATAACTGAGTTTTTAACTTACTTTTTAATTCATTTAAAAGCGAGCACACGCACGGCAAAGAGGGGCAGAGGGAAAGTGAGAGAGTCTCAAGCAGGCTCCGTACTTGGCACAGAGCCTGATGCGGGGCTCAGTCACAACTGTGAGGTCGTGACCTGAGCTGGAACCAAGAGTCAGATGCTCAACCAGCTGAGCCACCCAGGCACTCAGTAACTGACTTTTTAAACAGAAGGAAATCCTATAAAATGTGATGACGTGGGTGGACCTGGAGGACATTATACTCAGAGAGATAAGCCACGTCCTACAGGATCCATCTCATATGAGATCTCTTTTTTAAAAATTTTTTTTAATGTTTTTTTATTTATTTTTGAGACAGAGAGAGTCAGAGCATGAGCAGGGGAGGGGCAGAGAGAGAGGGAGACACAGAATCCGAAGCAGGCTCCAGGCTCAGCTTTCAGCACAGAGCCCGATGTGGGGCCCGAACTCACGAACCATGAGATGGTGACCTGAGCTGAAGTAGGACGCTCAACCGACTGAGCCACCCAGGCGCCCCACTAAGAAACACATTTTAAATATAAAGACACAAATAAGTTAAAAGTAAAAGATGGGAAGAGGTATCAACAAGAAAGACAGTAACAGTCACAGGATGGGGCGGCGGGGTGGCTGTGTGAATGTCAGAGTAG